TTCATTTTTTAAAATAAATTGGTACATTTTAGGTATACAATATAAATAATGCAATTTTTAAAAAACATTAACTAATTTTATCCTTATCAAAGCCTGAGGATATAGGCAGCAATAGTTTTTCCTTTTACTTACGAAAGACTGAGAAATATTATGTAATTTTTGTCCAAGTTAAGGTATCTAAAAAGGGCAATGCCAATGTGCAACAAACCCAAAGTATATTGTCTTCCTTTTTGAATTCTTCATAGTTCAGGCATTTAGCTTTGTTGCTATTGTTATTTTGTATCAGTGTTTAGTTTTTGTTTAATTTCTTGAGCACTCATTTGAAGACTGTCCTGGCTGAAATATTGCCTAATAAAATGTACACTATTTGATTATCATTTCAAAATTCAGGACTTCAGTAAGACATTTTAACTATAAATTCTAGCTATGACTTAAACTATATTTGCCTCTCCAAAACTAACCAACAATGTCACATCTATAATAATTTGTCTGATCTTTGAACATTAGTATAAGTAGAAGACTTGCATATTTGTGATTGTCCGAAACCTAGGCCAGTACACCACAGCGCATTTTCGTAAGCCTAAGAACCTTTGTTTCATCTGGCCATCGATTCCTGATTATTTTCTCTTTTCTCTCTCACTCATTGATCTACTGATACCTATTTCCCTACTTCATCCCACCTTCCAAGGAATAGATATGAACTATAAACAATTTTAGAGATTTATGTACATATAAAGTTAGGGAGAGAGAAAAACCTGTTACTCTCTTTTACCTCAGTTTACTGCTTGCTTTTGTGTTGAAACTAAAAAATCTATTATCTAGTGAACTTAGTTTGTAATGCATTGATCTGAAGTGATATATATATATATATGATTATATATATATATTTGAAAATAAATGTATTCACTATAAAAATCAGTAGTATGAGATCCTGGACCCTCACTGTAATTTGTGAAGCTCAATTATAACTCCTGTTCAATAAATTATAGGTGATTATATTCATGAGTAAGGCTGATATTTTCCCCCCAAAATTCAAAAAAGGTATTCAAGAAACCAAGTCACTTAGCAAAATTAGTTGTTTGGATGACTTTTTGATACCTACTTTTTTAACTAGTTTCCATATTTCATTGTCCTATATGAATTTGCTTTTTAGAAGTAAAATACCTACCCAACCACTCAGTTACCTTTTCAGGTGTCACTTAATGCCTTGCCACAATCTCTCAGATGAGAAAGTCTTATTCATGAGACACATTGAAAAATTTTTTCTGCCCTAGAGCAGAATATGACAAAGCAGTGAGCAATTCTCAGTGTTGAGTGAGCCTGAATGAGTTAACACACATTAAGTGTGTTTGAAGTGCAGTGAGATCCCCTGATGGGAGCAGTGTATTAAGCTACACTGCTTAATACATCATAGGATTGGAGCTAACAGTCTACGGCCATACCCCCCTGAATGCACCCGATCTCGTCTGATCTCGGAAGGATTGGAGCTAACAGATGACTTGGATTTTGTGAACTAAACTTGTAGATTAAAGGACAAAACCTTTCTGGGAAAACAAGTAGAGGGGCACAGATAGAGAAATACTAAACATTTTATTAATAGGCCACAAAATCTTCACTTTTTTCTCTCTCTGAATGCCTCCACACATCAGATGGAATATGACATAAGGATATTATGGATACCATCAGGTTTCAGAACACCTCCCATTGGTGGGAGCTGACAGTGTTATGGCTTGGGTCTGGATGTCCCCTCAAAGCCTCATGCAGTCATAGGGCTTTTTCAGAGGTGGGGGAATCTAGAATGTGAGGTTATGAGATTAAGGGCGTGTGATTTCTAAATCAGTCGACTGATTGGTTTGGCACTGCCCTGATCCGCGTAGTCTGGATAAAATAAAAGGGACAGAAAGAGGTTTGTCTTCCCCTTGTTTCTGCTGTCTTCCTCCGCCATGAGTTTATTGGCCCTCTGCAATGTGTCACCCTGCCTTGAAGCCATTATGGACTGAAATCTTTATAAACCGTGAGCTAAATAAACCTTTCCCCCTTTAACTTTGGCTGTCATGTATTTTGTCTCAGCAATGAGAAATGTAACTAAGACAGTACAGAACATTGAAATGTGGATGAATAAAAATGCAGATTATTTGAAAACTTATTTTTGATAAGTACATTTTGTGCGCTAGAAGATGATGATTTCCACAGACTAGTCATATTTCAGAGTGCTTGCCCTTTGTGTGTTTCCCTTTAGACTTGGAGATATTGACCACATTGGGACACCTGTGTGTAAAGAAAATGGAAGAGGGAATAGAGGGAGAATGCAAGAGGGACAACAAAAATGAGAGGAGGAGAGAAAGAAATCGTGTGGTCTCTGAGGGTGAAAAAGAGTAATCCCCAGATCTTGAGGACAACAGGTGAAAATCCTCAGGTCTTGGGAATTTTTTTATCTTTTAATTTACTTATCCACCAAATAAGCTAATATCCTTTTTTAAGTAGGAGTGTTTCATGTAGGAGTGCTTGATTTTGCATGAAACAATGGAGAGAAGACCTAAGAACCTCTGTAAAATTCTAGAATTCTCAGTCCTTTTTTCATAATTATTTTTTTTCATTCTGTTTCAAGTTTATTTCCAAGCAAGATGTATCAACTGTAAACATATCATGTGCTCTCCTCTGCCATGTATTTCCTTATTTTTTATACTCTGTTTCTCCACTTTTTCCATTCCTCTGATGACTCACAGGCAGCTCTGCATAGGCAATTTCTACCTCCTCTAGATATTCATGTAAGTTTTGAATGTATTGATTGACATTAACCTCACTGAGAACTTTAAAGCAGGTACTTTCCACCTGTGTTTTCATGAACTATTTGTTAGTTGAGAGTCTTATCATGTTTGGTGGCTCCATAGGACTGCATAATTTGGGTATTAATTATTTCAATCAAATGTTACTATCTCCATCCAAAATGCATTATTTGTTTAACATTTAATTTCTCACCCCAAAAGTAAAGTTTATTTTACCAAAAGTAAAGCCACCAAATAAGGCATATGGTCCTCAATCTCTCTTCTAAATTCTACACACTAATATCAGAGCTCTGTGGTATAATAAGATTTGTTATCTAAATATCAAGCATATATTGATAGCTAATTGCTAATAGATATATATATACAAGCATGCCATTCATTAGCCTTATGATTCCTTATAAACTTCACACACTATAACTCAATTTAGTAATTTGGATGTAGTCTAAATATGGAGAATCTGTAGATGTTAAGGACATCTGTGGTAGCTTAAAATAATGAACAGTGAGAACATATTTTGTCCAGGGTAGACTAAGATGTAACTAAAAAGAAAATGTCAGTTTTATCACATTAAAATATAGCCATGCAATCATCTTTATAAAACTCTTTACAAACTAACTTGCAATAATTCAGTACATTTTATAATAGTTTATATTCCAAATGATGAATGTTACTTATAAAGTCAAGGATACAATCATGTTATTTAATTCAAAGGCATTGATAGCTTTTGGGTTTTAGTTTTATGTGTATGTTTGTATTTAATTTGATGAAAATTCATTCGTTTCTAATATAGGCATAAAGGAGTCAATTTCATGGACAATTTTATGCTAATTTTTGAATTAATTTGTAAATTAAATTTATAATGGAAAATATTCAACTTTTAACTTTTATTATATATTTATGGGTTTTTTCCAGTGATGAAGCTCTACCTCAATACATCAGAGTTAGTGACATATTTTTATAATAATTTCACTTCTTGATTAATCTGTCTTCCTCCTCCTCTACCCACTATGTATGGAAGTCTTACAACACTTTCTGCATTATGTATTTTATTTTCTGATCAGTATTTTCCAATGTTTTATGTTCCAATATATTCTAGATAAACATAAATATTCTAACTTTCTGAATCCCAAAAATTCTGCTATGCATTCTGTTTGGAGATACCTGCCCTCTAGCCCTTGAGGTAGAAAATTCATGCTTTATTACCTAGTAGAAATGTGCAACCTCTATTCCCTTTTCATTTTCATAGAAAATTACCAATTGTAATGAACAAAATGATAAATACAGTTTACAATAGATATCTTATTCGAACATCTTGCTTATAGCCGATGGGGTATAATGAAATTTACTAATGTGATGATTTTTTGATATTATAGTTATATAATAGTTGTCCGTTACCGAGAATGTTGTTCCAACTGACCAAGTTTTGTCTTAAATTATAGTCTTAGGTTTTAGTTACACTACAACAAGAGCTGCCCGGCATAAATCAGAATTGTCCTCACTTCTTTTAGATGCAATGATACAAATAAAAAATAAAGCTACTCTACCACCATCCAGGTAACCACTCAGATTTGTAATTCTAAAATCATCTTATTTAGAAAAAGTGAACGTAAGTAAAGAATGCTTGAATTTATTTAGAATAATGGTCATGAAAATTATCACAAACCCATAGTATCAAGTAACATGAAAAAACCCAAGAAATTTCAAGGGTAACAAAATCTAATTTAAAACAAGCTAATGGCTCTTGGGATAAACAGTAGTTGAGATTATAACACATATGCATGTGCACGCGCGCACACACACACACACACACGCCAATCAACCAAAAACCAAAATCCTACAATAAGTTATTTTTCTACTTGATGATATGAAATCACTGAATAGATTATCTGAATCAACAACTTGTTTGGAAATAAATTCTATTATTCAATCCTAAACTCTTATCCTCTGTAATATTAAGCAAAAAATGTCTAGAATTTGAACAACAAACTTTTACTTCCAAAGTGTTTGAGTTATCTCTCTAGAAAATGTATTTTATTTTCACATTAATATTATATTTCATATTAATTTAGCACTTCTGAATCATGTATACCCTGAGAATATTTTTTTTATACCCCACCACGTAATTTAACTCTAGACACCTATTTATTCAGCACATAGAGAGGCAAACAACACACACACTCTATATAACATAACATACAAAGCTGCAAGTCTTACATGGTGAAAACATCCAGTGTATCTCCAGCAGTTCTTGCCATTTCAAAGTAGGTCTGCAGAATGTTGACAGTCCCAGAGAGGGCTTCATGACCGCAGCCGCAGAACAGGGCGACACCCGCATAGAGCAGGATAGTGGCAATGAGAGAAGCATAAGGAATCCCTCCCAAGCATTTAATACAGCACTCAAAACACCCTGTAGAAGAGCAAGAGAAAAAGGAGAAAATTAAATAAAATTCCCAACTTTAACACTACGGCCAATTATATTTGCCTTGATATATCAGGCCAACCATATAAATCAAGTCCTAGGGTCTCCTGGAAGGTATAAAGAATAAATTCCTTAATTACAATCCATCCTTCAAGACAGGAAAATGCTTTTTACCACTGATGGCTTCCTCTTCCATCCCTCCAAACCCACCAAAGCCCTTCCTTTCCAACACAGACTTCCCATGATACCCATCTTCATCATACATGTATCCTTCAACCTTGTATTCATTGTTCTCAAGCTTCACATGCTTATATTTCATTTTAATTATCTGTTCTTTTAACTTTTTGCAGCTGTATTTTTCAATGAGTTGAATCCTGTTAGATCACTGTAAACTTAACACAGAAATTTGAAAAGTGGAAAAGAATGAAATTGCACATAATAAGTAAAATTAATTTTGAGTTCTATTGATTGTATATATTCTCTGTGTAGTGATCTATCATGTAAAATCTATTTATACTATGGTCCATGGTTTTCAAAAAACAAGACGTGGGCATAATTGAAATAAGAGAGCAGACAAGAAAGATAATCTTATACTTAGCAGTATGTGATTTGTAGCAAATTTATTCTTTTGATATTATCATTTGTAAAAAATGAAAATAAGAGAATTTTCCTCCAATGGTTCTTGTGAAGATTAAATAATTTAATACATAAACTAGTTCTTGACATAGAATAATTGCTAAATCAATAGAATATTTTCTGAGTGACTGTGTTTTGACCACAATTTATCATAGGAGATCAGATGTGGCCTTTTCTACTTGTGGTGTTATATTGGGGTTCAAAAAGTTTCAAATTTTTGGATCATTTTGGATTTTCAGGTGATGGTTTCCTATATCTATGCAACAACATATGAGGCACGAGATAATTGCAAAGTTCCTGTGTGAAGTAACTTTATGTTCCAAGATTGAGCTCATCTGCTATTTTCCTATTGCTCATTAGACTGGCTTTCTTGAGAATTACAGCCCATCTCATTTTCTTTAGAAGAAGAGAAAAACAAAGGATTCTGAATACCTCTCCATTTCCATAGCTGTTGCTTGAGAAAGCAAATCATTTCCTGAACATTCCTCCCCAGAAATACAGTCACATAAAATCTGAGGAAGGAGAAAGGTTAGAACAGCTTGAAACTTCATATAGGAGGAAGAAATTTCTCTAGCAGATGGCCAAGGCCAGTATGTGCAGAATCTGAATGTCATTGAACACAGTTTCTAGTGGAGATGAACAGGGTGGCATACAAATCCTTGGACTACTGTCTTTTAATGTTCTAAAATTCCAATGTCAGTAATTATTTTAAAATTGAAGAAAGCAGAGAGATAAAGTTGATATGAACCCAAAGAAGCTCTCCCTCTAATTTAACAAGTGTACCTATTGGCCCCACAATTTCCAATCTCACTACTCAGTGATTTCTCTCTTTGCTATTTTCAAGCCATTTGATATGGCTGTGGGAGATTTTTACTTCATTTTTACTTCAGACAACCTGAGGTATCAAAATCAGAAGAACATGTCTAACAAAACCCTCAGAATAGATGTGGATAAGAAAGGAGACTGAACACCAAATACTTAGGTAGGAATAACATTTGCTATGTCCTAGAACCTAAAGTAAATGTTAAATCAGAAAGAGACTAACTTATAAACAGACAAAATTATAAGCTCATGACTGGTCACAAAAAGTACCACTGAGGACCTCTGAATAATTTGATAACTAATTCCAAGTCATTTTCTCTTAGTTCACATGTTCTCCACGGTGCTTTACATAACCCATACTAGCCTCCATGTTAGGTTATGTATCCTCAAGGAGAACCATGAAGTCACAGTACTGGAGCACTAAGTGTAATTTTAGTTGCATAGCAGCTTTCACGTTTAGAAAGCTACAACATAAATTCCAATATTGGAGTTAAACTCAAATGGACAACCTTGAGTTAGTACACATTTCAAAATGATTATGAAGTGGAAATATTTCTTTTATTCCCTTTTTAAATGTTGCCATTCAAATCCCTCGGTATTGTTATCTTTATTAACAAATTCAAGTTCCACTATTAATGTGAGGTTAGGCTAGGACATTATTAAGACTAGAACCTCAGCAAAACATTTATTCAAAGGTTTAAGATTCTCATCAAGCACATATTGCACTTGCAATGGGCTACATCATAATCACCCCCTCTCTTCCTTTGAGGCTGAGTTGAGTTGCCTATTGCATTTCAAAGAAGTCTCTCAGAACTCCCATATGGTGAAGCAGCACATCATTTCAGTATTCTCTCCAGCGGCCAGAATCCTACATAGCTGCTGGCAGGGAAGCTTCTTTCCACCCACAGTGAGAAACAGCCTTGGCAGAGCAGAAATGTCACCATAGCAACAGGGCCCTGGGCCAGGATGCATTCTCAATGATCACCGTTTAAGGCTATGCATTCTGCAGCCGCCCATCATCATGCTTTTACTCAACTGAAAGTGAAAAAATGTCATATTAAACAAATATTAATGACGGTACAGTAAGTGGAGTGTTGGCCCTGGAGAAAATATGTTTCTTAAGAAAATTTCTCTGAAAACAATAAAGATTATGATGCATAGCAGACATTTTCAATACTAGGTATTATTAGAATAGGGCCATTAATTCTCAAATAAAGCTAAGGTTCATATAGTAACAAAGAATATTCATGCTGTAACCACATATATACAAAGAAACATTTCTTATGTCCATTTCTGTCTATATATACTGCCTTAAAAAAAAACCCCACTATGCCATTAGCTTTCAGATGAAAATAAATATTGAAAGAATTATGAAACCTTTTTTCAACACACTCTCTGAAACATTGGCCACATTATCATTTCCTGGGTACTTAATAAGGTTATAAATTGAATTTTATTAAATAAATATTTCAAAGAAAGTAGAAGCTCCTGGCATACACTGTCTTTTAAAAAGATGTGTAATTATCTTTTCTGTGAGATATAGAATTGATTTACCTCTTTCCAAATGTTGTGAAATAAGCACAAGCATTTGCCTTTGCCTTTGCCCACCTTCTCAAACCTCAGCAAAATAGAAACAGGGAAAAGAACCTAAACTTAAAAGAAAAAAAAAAGGGACATAGACAGTGAAAAAGAGAGACCAAAATTGTGGATATGGTAAAAGAGATTGAGAAGTGACGGTAACAAGTGCCATTGATGACAGATTCTAAGTTTATTCATTGATATACTTTTCCTGTTAATATTTACCTATCTATACTGATAAAGGTTTCTTTAGTCATTATCAAGTCTCCAGAGAGCCATCTATCTGTTTTAATCTGTTCCATTACTCATTTGTGTATCATTGTTCCAATACCACTTTTCACATATCACATCACAATTCCAATTTATGAAAAATCACACATTTTCCTCATGTGTGTTATGCCTGCCCATGGTATATTTACTTTATAAATTTATAAATAACTCATCTGATTACATAAATTAACTCATTAAGATTTTGATTTGTTATTTTTGTATTGATTTTCTATCCAGAAAATTTAAAATTCTTTTGTTGGTTCTGTAATTATTTTGATTTTGTGAATTATTTTGAATTTATATTGATAATCACTATCTGAAAAATTTGAGCTACATTTATTTTCAGTTGTAGCTTTTTATTCATCTTTTCATCATTTAATTCAATCAAAATGCAATGAGAAAAGGCACAATTTTTGTTCATGATACTAAAGAAAATACTTGTTAGCTTTATGTGAGTTTGTTTGCTAAAGAAGGTCATTTTTGCCTTGAATTCCATAACATGGTTCGATGTTATTGGGTGAAATAACTTTATATTTCTTTCCCTTTTATCTGACACTTCAATAATTTTTTTTCTAAATTAAATTTGCATTGCTGAAAAAATACGCATATAATACTATGTTTTTACTACATCACTGAAAGTGTCATGCTAACATTTTTGGAGGGGTGGTACTAGGAGTCCATTCCAGGGTCTTTTTAGAACTATACATCTCCATCCCTATTTTTCATTTTTATTTTGAGACAGGGTCTTAGCTAAGTTGTTAAGTCCCCCAAACTGGGCTCCAATTTATGATCCTCCTCCTTAGTCTCCTCGAGCCTTAAATAACAGGTATGTGAACTATTTGTTCTAAACTTATCATGTATCAGTTTATTCAACCTTTAGTTGAGTACTTACACAGGTATCAAGCATTGTGTTAATTGTTTGAGCTGCAGAAATAAAATCAACACAAATCCCTGCTCTGATTGTAAAGGAAAGAGATAGAAAATCAGTAAGATGCTAAAATAACAGATTTGTGATTGTTAAAAGTGTCAAGAAAAAACCTAAATAGAGAAGAGAGATGATGACTATTAGGATAATGGATTCAATTTTTGATAAAGTGGCCAGGGAAGGAATAACTACTGCAGTGATGTTTGCAAACAAAATAATAAATAAATAAATAAATAAATAGACAAACAAACAAACAAACAAAAAATCTGAAGGAAAAAAGGAGTCATTCAAATTTTATCAAGTAAAAATATAATAGCTGAAGTTTACCTTTAATGGAAGGGTAAAAGACAAAGAAAAAGATGAAGGACTCCTCTGACAAAGTACAATGAAAAGACACAGATGGAAATTGGAGAAAAAATATATGCTACTTAGAAGACCTGAAGAGAAAGGTCAATATCCACAAATAAATGTAGTAAGGTCTATCAACAGTGAAAAGGAAGATTAGCAAATTATCCAATAATTAATATAAGAGTGTCCTGCTGTTGAAGTGCATGAGTGTCCAGGTCGATGGACCCCACACTGTTCAGGGATGAGCCCCTACTAGGAGTACTGTCTAAGAATGTCCTGTAGCCACGCAGACAACACAGAGGCCATAGGACTGCTGGTGACTCTTGTGACCACAAGGTTTTTCCAAATTAAGAAAGATTCCAGCACTGGGCCCCATGGATAATAAGTGTCTTAGACAAAGCCAGGTTTA